ATTGAAGGAACTCCATGTTCACCGAGCCGTGTCCTCTTTCCAAGCAGCATGCTGATGAGCCCTGCTGACACAGACTGGGCCAGTGGCGCAATGGATAACGCGTCTGACTACGGATCAGAAGATTCTAGGTTCGACTCCTGGCTGGCTCGTTCACAGTTTTTTCGCGTTGCTCTCAGTGCAGTGCGGTTGCAGTTTGCCCCCGGAGTTGTTCGGTTCTACTCTGGAGTGAATCGAGTTTCTGGGGCCGCCAGCACAGAGCCTGTGGGGTGCTCTCCTGGGTTCAAAGGCTGCCCCAACTGCTCTCATGTCTTGGTCCCGTACATCCCTCAGGACTTCCAGAAGAAACCAGTACAGCCACTCTCCTGGGAAGACCGCAGTGACAGCTTGTAGACCAAAATGTTTGCTGTGAGGCTAAGGCGTTCTACTGCAGCACAGATACGCATTCGAAAAGCAGACAATATTCAAAAACAAAGTGCCAACCTAAAACAAGATTGCAGTCAAAATGACCACCTCAGACAAGTGTGAGCAATGTTTCAGTCTCTGTTATATGTCAGCAAATATGCCACACAGTGCAGACTGGGCCAGTGGCGCATACTGGCACCTGTAAGTCGTGGTTATTCTTGGCTACACCGGCCAATCACGTTCCGAGTTGGAACCAAGATTTTTTTTAATTCATGGTTACGCTGGCCAATCACGTCCCGAGCTGGAACCAAGATTCACCCTATTCTTGGTTACGGCAGCCAATCCTGTTCCGAGTTACAATGAACGCTATGGCCAGTCAGAGCCCTTATACCATTCAAGATTTGTACTGTAATAACAGATTTCGTTGCAGATTAATTCGGACAACAATTGCAAATGAAGTATTTTTATAACAAGTTGGTTTAAATGAATAACCATTACCGTAACATTAATTACAACAACACGATTATTAAATGATTGTTATAGATGTTGTATAACGTTATTTGGTAAGATTAACTTAGCAGACCAAGCACTCTTTAAAGTTTTACTACAAACATATTAATGCAGTTATTGTACATTACAACACTTTATATTATTATTTACTACCATAGTTACAATAATGCCCGTGCATTATTCTAACACATCAATGAATTACTCACTTATAATAAATATAAGGCTCATTTCATCAGTCACTGATTATAAACAAATATTATAATAACGCTCACATATGACTACATCACTAATCATAAACTAATCTAATAAATCAGTCACAAAGCAAAAAAAAAAACAATATGGATCACGCATGAATGCATCACTAATAATAAACCAATAATAGAATAATGCTCACACATTAATTCATCACTAATAATAAAGCGATAATATAAGGGTCACACATTAATGCATCTTCAATAATAAACCAATAATATAATAATGCACACACATTAATTCATCCCTAATTATAATCCAGTAACAAAGTTAACATTAATAATCTTCTTTAATTTTCTATTTCACAGACATAGATTAAATTACTAACAGACTAAAATATAAGTAACTTCAATTTAAAGTAATAGTTTGATATATTGAATATGTTTGAATACAGTTGTGCCTTGTCTACTAAAGAAAGAAAATTGATTGATTTATGTTTAATACAAGCAAGGCGTTGTATTGCTTTATGCTGGAAAAATTTTAATCGCCCCTCCATTGGATTTTGGTTGAGAAACCTTATAACATGCTTGGCTCTTGAAAAGCTCACATATATAATAAGGAAAAAATCCTCTGAATTTTGTGACATCTGGGAATTGTTTTTGAACTTTGTAAAAAACGGAGATATTGAAGAAGCTTCGGAAGTCTGAAGTTGTGGGATGTTAATTGGTGCTTGATTTTATTTTTATTTATTTATTTATTATATTTATTATGTGTATATGTATATGTGTAATTTATTATTTTATTTATTTGCATTTTTTTATTATTTATTTATTTATTTATTTTTTTCCCTAAGCCTGTCTAGGCTAAGTTTTGGGTTCAATACTCAATAAAGACATGTTATAATAGTTAGTAATAGTTTGAATGCACTGCTTTTACATGTAATAAAACAGTAGTTTACAAAATGTAGAAAATATTTTCTTTTTGGAAATGAAAATGTTGTCTTCAAAAAATTTACGTTACATGTACATTATTACATTACAAAAGAGATAAAATAAAATTTGACTTATTCACTGTCTCAACTAGGACAAACATTGTTATTAATGATGTAATTATTTTATTGATGGCAGCCTGAATCTGACAGATAGAGGCAATAAAAGTAAAGGAAGCTAACAAAGGAGTCATACAGAAACTGTCCCCAGAGGCAGTACTGGACAAGACCAAAGAAACTTAAATGAGCACCATGGAGATGTGATTAACAGAAAACATCTGCTGGGTTTCTTTGAAATCCAGTTTGGTGTATTTTGTGGCCAAACATTCAGGTGGGTGGCTGAAAATGCAAGCTGGAACCGAGGACTCATCAGGGTGAAAAGAGAGGTATAGCTGGGTATCATCAGCATAGCAGTGGTAGGAAAATCCATGTTTCTGGATGACTGGTCCTAAAGATGTTGTGTAGATGGAGAAGAGAAGTGGCCCAAGAACAGAGCCTTGAGATACCCCACTGTTTAGATGCTGTAGGTTGGACACCTCTCCCCTCCAAGACACCCTGAATGACCTGTCAGAGAGGTAAGATCTGAACCATTGTATAACAGTGCCCGCAACGCCCAGTGACTCGAGCGTAGATACCAGGATCTGGTGGTTTACAGTGTCAAAAGCAGCTGACAAATCCAGCAAGATGAGGACTGATGATTTAGAGTCTGCTTTAGCCAGTCTGAGATCCTCCACGACCGAGAGCAGGGCAGTCTCAGTTGAATGGCCTTTCTTAAAGCCAGATTGCCAGCTTAACTAGACTAAAAGCTTACCTCTTGGAAATGTAGCAAGCTAAGCTAAAAACTCCTTGGCAAAAGTAGTGTAGCTACATCCAAGCTAATTTTACAATATTCATATTTAAATCGAAGCAACTTAAATCCAAGTCAATCATATCTTAGTGATCAATAAAACTGTCAATGAAAAATGATTCAGTTCAGTAATTTACTGTAAATATTATGTTGTACCAAACAGAAACAAATAATGTTATATAACAGCAAAAACTAAAAATCCAATAAAACCAGGTGTTACACAAATAAAATACTATAGTTATTTATAGTAAAGGGAAATACTCTGCAATAAGCATTATATTGTATATACTTTTACAACTTTTCATTAATGAATTACACCCTAATCTAATCTCTCTGCCATCTTTTAATCAAGCAAGTTTCTCGTGTCAGCTCAATGATTGTTTGGCTACATCACCAACCAGAGCAAGAGGTGGCAGTAACGCATCAAAAACTTTGTTATCGACCACCGTAAAACAGGAAGAAGAAGAAAATGTCATTCTTCTAATGTAGAAACTTCTTTGTTATTGATCGGTAAAGCTGTTTCAGTAACCGAAGAGGCCTCCGGTGCACAGAACTGCACAATAGGTGGTTGGCGCTGACAAGCAGTAATACACACGGTGTGTTTGGCAACCCCCCATATGGGAGTCCAGGGCCGTAACATCCATTGTCTCTAACGTTAGCTTAAAAGATTTCCGGCATCAACAGCAGTAGGCGTCGCGGTCATTTCCTGGCACAGGCTTAACCCAAACTCAATTCGGATTCCTTGGCCACAGCGACACTTTCCCATTTTAGCCGACAAACTGGGCTAGTGACTATCTTGTTCTGTACCTCACCTCAAGTAACCATATGACGGGTGCGCACACTTTCGCGATTTCTGCTATGACATGGAGGTAGAGGTGCACTCAACATTACGCTGCATTAATTTTTAAGTAGCCTACATTAGTAACAGTTCATTTTGTTACGGTCTGAACTTAATCCTAGGAAAGGCAAAAATAAATGCATAAAATTAAGACCTTTGTAACAAAATTCAAGACGTTGTATACCAAATTCAAGGCTATAAGGCCTTAATTTGACATTATCAAATTGAAGACTTTTTCAATGCTTTTAAGACCCTGCCGGTACTCTGGACATGGACCTTCAGCATGCAGTGGGACAGTTTGCTGCTGAGTGTGACATGGCAGAGAAAGAAACAGCACCTCTAAGTCAGAAACCATAATGCTTGAATGGAAAACAGTGGCCACCTCCAGTTTGGCAGAGAGTCCTTACCAAAATGGAGTATCTGATTTTTTTTGCCATGAGGAATGTAATATGAGATTAAAAGATGGATCAGTGCAGCAGTAATAATTCCTTACATTTATATAGCGCTTTTCTGGGCACTCAATGCACAATGGGGGGATCTCCTCCACCACTTCACCAGTGTGTAGCATCCACCTGGATGACACACCAGCCCACACACCACACACCAGCTGATTGGTGGAGAGGAGACAGAGATGAAGCCAATTGAATATGGGGATGGTTAGGAGCCCATGATGGACAGAGGCCTACTCTTTCCGAAGGACATCCTGGGACCGAAAGACGGTGCTCACTGAGCACTATACTGGGGCATTAGGACCCCTGCTGGCCTAACTAACACCACTTCCGGCAGCAACCTAGCTTTCCCATGTGGTCTCCCATTCAGGTACTGACCGGGCGCAGCCCTGCTTAGCTTCAGTGGGCAGCCATGTGAGAGTTGCATGACTCATGGTCATGACTGAAAGGACAAGATCTCGGATACAACCGGACACATTTTACGAAGTGTTATGACCCGCTTGTTTGAGTCGCAGCACAAAAGAGAGATAAGCCAACAAAATAACCTAAATGCAAAATATTTATTATAAAATGCAACTTATAGAACAATCAATCAATGCAACCAACAAATGTTTAGGGATACTAATGAAGATAAAGAACTTAGGATATAATCACAACAACACTTTAACTACATGATATAAGTAATGCAGAACAAAACCATAAGGTTAAAGAGCATATTGTAGGTTAAAAATTTGTTTAAAAAAAAGGTAGAATCGTTTGTGAAAATACTCTATAATACCATAACATACCATATTAAAATGTTTTACGAAGTGCAAGGGCACAAATTTGAAAGAAAATGTGTCTGTTTTCCCACTTCCGCTTTTTTTTCTAACCACCCCGGTGACGTCAGTGCAGGGACTTATCTGACAGACGCGCACTGTTTACAGTGGGGCAGAGGAGCTAATAGCAGAACTGGTTGTTAGTTTTGGCGTAATTTATCATCATCTTGGTATATTATTGCATTTATGGAAACTGCACAAACTCCAGCCTGTCAACAGATCAAGTCCACAAGTTTCCTCTTGCTATTTTGGTTCGTGAAATGGGATGAATCCGATAAGAGTGATAGCTGACGCGAATGGCGAGAAACACTCCTGGTTCAGTCGGAGATGCAGCTCGGTAAGCTGTACACGGTAAGACAACTCGTTTTTCGTTTATGTTTGTCAACTTTCAAGTCCATACGCATTATTATTTGAGTAATTTGAAGCAACGTGATGTGTTTACTTTGGAGTAGCCGATAGCACGGCTGCTAGCTTGTATTGTTAAGCATATTAAATATACTTTTTAAAGCTTGTAAAAATGTACACATATGATAAGACGGCTAGTAGCATCAGTTTGCTAATATAATAAATGTCTTGTATAGTTACAGCGTTGTGACTTTGTTTGCTTTGGGGTGTGTTTATTAGACTTTGGGAGACAGATTATGACCCGGAGCTAAAGGCTTTCTCTCCACTGGCCTCTCGGTCAACTGTGCTTCACTTTGGCTCACAGAGTAACCTCAACTAAGGTAAAGTGGATTTTATATTCGCACATTCGATTAGTGACAGCTTGTGTGACACACTCTCAGTATTGTTTACCATAGCACTTTTATTATAATGACTGAAATCACACGTAAATATGACTTATTAACAACATTAGCACTATTAAACTGACAGTGAACAATGTTGTACTTTGATAGTCATTGGCTGCTAACATGATATTAGGTATTAGCAAATAATACTCTTCTGAAATTATATTATTAGGGAGAAAGTCAGAATGTGTGAATATAAAACCAATTTTACCTCAGACATTCACCTCGTTCATTGGGTAAAATATTATGACCCCTATCGTGAATTATTTGTGCATGGTATTATTTGATAACAAAAACTAGAAGGGCAAAGAATTACTACAATATTTCTATATAATGCAGGCAGGTAAAGTCACACTATCTTTGACTTCCTTTTTTTTTTTAAATATTGGAAACGTGTAACCATTGACTTCCATATCTGTTTTTCCCACCATAGACGTCAATGGTTACAGATTTTTAGCTTTCTTCAAAATATCTTGGTTTGTGATCAACAGAAGAAAGTCAATAAGGTTTGAAACCACTTGAGGGAGAGTAAAAATATTCTGTCCTGTCAATGAGGAAAGGCACTTTTTATTCACATATGAGGAATATTCATCTTGTAGAAGAAAAACAAATAACATTCAAAAAATTGAAGTTTGTTCTTACATGCTCAACTTATAATGGGTACAGTCTACTGTATATGTGAGATGGTTTGCAGTTCACTATCCAGGGGTCTGCAAATGTGGTTGGGTTTTCTGTATTATGTTATATTAAAAATCATATGGTGAATTTTAAAATATACATTATTAATAAACATGATTTCATCTTTTGCATTATTTCCCCAGAATATATGCATCAGCCCTCACTGCATGTCTGACGGTGGACTACTGGAGGTCTTCACAGGCTCGACGAGAATGCAGAAGTGGCCACTACATTTGCTCTCCTTTCTAGATCCTTCCAGCGGGTTTACAAGGATGAGGCTGTCGGCATCTTTTTACACAGCATTCACAATTTAACACACATTAAAGACATGATGGTGTGGTACCCACATAAACGTTGGCCAACTTACTGAAAAATAATGTTAGGTTTACTTTTAAATGGGTCAGATGATATATTTTCCTTTCAGTATACACACACTCACACAGATACTTATGCATATATAAAGAGTAAAAATGCTGGGTATTAACACTGCTTATGATTTTGTGCTATATAAATAAAACTTGAACTTGAGTTGCATTTAGAATTTGAACTTGAATTAGGGTTGAAGTTTATTTAATCATAAATGCAGATCAGATCTGTTGATCAAATCTTTGTAAATATTTTATACTATAACAACTGTACTTGTCTTTTTATGGATTGTTGTCTAAATGGGATCTGATACAGATAATCTTATACCCAATGAAAGAATGACAAAAAGACATATTTAAAAACGTATTTTAATTGTTTTAATATTTGATGTTGTTTTTATTTTAATACAGAAGCTCTGAAAACCATTTGAAAAATAAAAAAAGATTTTCTAGTACCTTGTTTACATGTTTCTGCATTATTCCAGACGTTCTGTGTTATTTGTGTTTTGTATTCACTTATCTACTATTAAAAATAGTGTCAATGTGGCATAACTGTGTTAAATGCTCATTAGTTTCTGTTACTGGTAAGTATTAATACTTATAGATGATCAATACTAGCTTTGTTGTTGCCAGATAAGATTTTGTTATCTTACATATCTCTCTGTAAGCCAACACTGGCCTCACCATAAACCTGCTCTGTTCTCCCTCACAAAAGAGTTAAATTACACTTCTCTGACTGCTGTTCTGTCTGCTGGTCTGTCCACAGGCTTATAATTGTATGGCTGTGGTCTGTCGTTTGTGTGAGTCTCTCAGAATATCTTATCTCGGCATCCAAATGCGCACCACGATCAGTTGTCTTCATAGTATTTATATGCGCGAACTCCCTGGTCCTACGTCACTTCCGGTCTGGCAATTCAAACGCGGAAGTAAATTTCCGTGACTTAAAACGACTCCAAACGGCTTAATAATAAACTTTAACGTTTATTTTAAAGAAAATCTAATTCTTACTTTACTCTTACACACATTGTCTCACTGGGGTGTCTAACCTACAATATGCTCTTTAAGTAAATCAGGGAATGATGAGTGTTGCAAGACCTGATCGGTTTTGTGTAAAGTGTAGCAATAAAAACAGTGAGTGGGTGCAATTTGTCCCTGTTGTTTATCAGACCATAATTTAATTACAGTCAGTATTACACAATCTAACTTTAAAAGCCCTTATTGTAAATTTAACACTGCTTTGTTGAAGGAAAAGTTATTTTGGGAGAAGTGGAGTTTTAGGAAAGAAGATTATAAAATTGTGTTAAAGTGGTGGGAGTTAGGACAGATTCAGATAAAAAGATTTTGCCAACAATATACATGGTTTTCAACAAGAAAAATAAAACAAAACATTTCTGAAATAGAGCATGAGATCTTTCATATTACATCTGCTTACATTCAGCTTTCTGATTCATCTTCAGCTGTCTCTTTCAGTAAAAAAATAAATAAATAAATCAAGATTTAGAATCATTATTGCAAGATGGATGCTCCTACTTCTTCTTCTTTTTTTTTTTATTTAGAAAAAGTGTCAAAAAAACTAAATGAAATGTATTGTTTGAAGACCCCCTAATGGACTGATCTTTTAATTCAGAAAAATGAAAAAGATTGCAGTGGATTTTTATTCAGACTTCAAGAAAGAAGAAACTAATCTTGAGTGCATGTCACAAATAATGTAAGAAATTCTTACTCTTACTGAAACACAGCAACAGTGCTATTCCATATCAAGAAGTAATGGATGCAGTAAAACAGATGAAGACTGGTAGAGCAACAGGAATTGATGCACTGTCTATTGATTTTTACAAGTCTATGTGAAATATTATTGGAGATAATTTTTATGAAGTGATTCAAGAATTTTTATAGAAAAAAGTCTTCCTACAAGTTGTCAAAGAGCAGTCTTAACACTTCTGCCAAAAAAAGGGGGGATTTGAGTGATCTTAAAAACTGGAGGCCTGTGTCTGTTTTAACTACTGATTATAAGTTAACGGCAAGTGTTGGCTGATAGGTTAAAGACTGTACTCTGTGATTTAATACACCCAGATCAATCCTATTGTATCCCAGAAAGAACCATTTATGGCAACATTATCATGGTAAGAGACACTTTAGATTATTCCAAACTGAATGATGTCAATGTTGGTTTTTTGTTTTTAGATCAAGAGAAAGCATTGGATAGAGTGGACCATGGTTTTTTATTTGAAACTATGAGAGCTTTTGGTTTTGGAAATGTATTAATTTCTTGGATCAAACTTTTATACACGAATGCTTCTTGTGTTTTAAAAATAGGTGGCAGCTTAAGTAAACCAGGAAGAATACTTAAAGGCATAAAACAAGGATGCCCTTTATCAGGCCGGCTTTATGCTTTGGCAGAAGAGCCATTAGTTTATTAAGAGAAAATTTGTTTGATTTGTAACTTGACAACATATGCAATTCAGTAATAGCTTATGTAGATGACATCGCTGCTTCAGTGGCGTAGCGCAAAATGCGGAGGCCCCCCTGCAGGGATCGCTGACGGGGCCCCCTGATGAAGAGGGGGGGGGGGGGGATACGTCATACGTCAATTTGCATATCACTGACGTCATCACGTTTTTACCGTTTCTGTTTGTTTAACAGCCTATGGTTAATAAAGGGGTATTTATAATTGCACTACACTTTATATACGCATGTTTATTTAACTAAATTTATTGCTGTTTGAATACAGTATGTCATTATAGATATGTAGTGAATGTGCAGTAATCTCTCATATGTAATGAACTCAGACAAGTTCAGAAACTGTTACTAAAATATCTGTGATTGTGAACAAGAAAAGAATAAACGGTCCAATTAAATTGTTAAAATAACGTAGAAGTTGATCGGTTTGACTGTACAAGGGAAATACCTTCACACTGCCTGTGCTAAATCATTTGTCGTCGGTACGCAGAGGGGTGATCAGCTCTCGGGCTGCAGGTGGGAGAGGCTGCTGTAGAGGACTGACTGGGCCGCCTGTCAGTGCTGTGAGGCGGGGGAGGGGCCGGCGGCATCACACGCAGCTCGTTGAGAAGAGTAGGGACGCTACAGTATGGACAAATGACAGTCTAAAAAAATCTCCAATAACACACAAAAAAGGCGCTAGATTTGTCGCTAGGGGGGTCTGAAAAGTCGCTAAATCTAGTGACAAAGTCGCTAAGTTGGCAACATTGGCGGCAAGCAATCAGAATGAAGTAGTCCACCCCTCGAGAGGTGTTCAGAGAACACAGACTTGTGAACTTTGGTTCCGACCACAGTTGTTCCCAAGAGTTTGATTATTGCGGTTGCCGGTGGATTTTCAATTATTGAAAATCGCCACGACGCGGGGCCCCCTAATCACGCGGGGCCCCCCCGCGGTGCGTGCCCTGCGGGCCCGTCCGCTACACCACTGCGCTGCTTAAGTAAAATATCTAAAAGATGTTGATGTTGTTGAAAACAGCATCTCTTTATTTGAGAGGGCTTAATCTGCAAAGTTAACTGAGGTTATGAAAAAAGTACAATGAGGTTACCTGTCATCCCTGAAAATGGAAAAAACATGGTTTTAAGTATTTAGGTATTGTTTTGGGTTCTGAATCGTATCAAAGAAATAATTGGGAAAATGTTAAAGAAAACGTGTGTAATAGATTATCAAAATGGAATTTGATTTTACCACAACTTTCTTATAGGGGAAGAGGGCTCGTTGTAAATAACCTTGTGGCGTCTGTACTGTGGCATAAATTGTGTTGAATCCACCAGAAGGTTTTATTAGAGAAATTCAAAAAGTGTTTATAGATTTTCTCTGGAATGGACACCATTGGCTAAGAGAGACAATATTGTATCTGCAATTAAATGAGGGTGGTAAAGGCCTCATGGACATTAAGTCCAAAGTAGCTGCTTTCAGATTGCAGACTGCACAACAACTTCTTTATCAACAGTGTTAAAACTGGACTGCTGTTGCTTGTGCGCTATTAAATAGAGTGGGACGGATGAATCTGAACAGAATGAATTTGAAAGATATTGATTTTAGTGGACTTTCTTCTTTTTATACATCAGTATTAAATGCAGGGCAAATATTTATAGTTAAAAGAGAACTGACTGAAGTAGCACAAGAATGGGTACTTGAGGAACCATTAGTTTATAATCCCTCTTTATTTAGTGAGATTTCGAAGTCTAAGGGTTTTTCCACAAGATTGATTAAAGCGGCAATATGCAGAGTCAGCCATTTAAGAATAATGGATAGTTTTATTTCTGCAGAAAAACTTGCTGTGAAGATCAATGTTGTACACTCTGTAAGGATGATTGAAAAACTGTTATATGCGGTTTAAAAACTGTTTCCTGTAGAACCATTGCAAACAGAAATAATTAAGACTGCTTTTCCCAGGATTAGTGTGAAAGTAAAATTAGAAGATTGGCAGGAGGATGATCAATGACAAATCGTTATAAGAATCATTTAAATCCTTTGCAAGGAGATGAATGTTTATTTAGTGGCCTTTCAGAAACAATGTTTTAATGGCTTTTCAGATTTTAATGTTTAATGGCTTTTCAGATTGTTTGGCATGTTGAGATACTTGTGCCAAAAAATTGGGTTCATTTTTACAAACAGTCTTTTTGTCTCTGGACCAAAATACAATATTTAAATAAGAAAAGAAAATGTTTTAACAAATTTCCTATTAGGCAGGGCAACACTGGCAATATAGTTGACAAGAAAAAAGCTAAATGCTGTTTGACAGCAACACTGACCCTTTGGACTTGTTTAGAGCTTTGGTAAAAGCAGGCTAGTAATGGAGTATAAATATGATGAACTGGTGAATGATGATGTTGACTCTTTCTTTTTTGTATGTGGTGCTGAAAGTGTTTTATGTCAACCTAATGAAGTAGGAAGTTGTGATACATTGCTTTAAATTTGGAGCTATTAGTTATTATTATTGTTCTATTATAATTATTTATTTTTGTTTTTATTAATTATTTTCTCTTTTGTATATACGCGTTTCTTTAATTTGCTGTAATTGTTTTTAGCCCAATACAGTTTTTGAACTATTGTAATTAAAGAGTTGTTAAAAGTCTCACACACACTGCTTCTGCTGACTGCTCCTGCAGAGTCATGTGGGTAAATCTCTCGTCAGTCTTCAGCTCAGTTTCACTGATGATCCATAATAAACAGTAAACC